AGAGAGCCGGGCGCGGAGGGCGGGCGAGAGGAGCGAGAGGAGGCCAAGGTCGAGGAGGCCGGGAACGAACAAAAACACGAGGGCCAGCAGGAACGCGAAAGGAGCAGAAAGCCGGCAGGCCCGAGGCGACCGGGCGCGCCTTGGCCATCTCGCCGCAGATCTTCTTCCTCCTGTGGGCGGGGCCTCGCGCTCCCACCGTGGCCGCCGCCCGTTCCCTCGTTCTCCCCTCGGGCCCCACTCCTCCTCTTTAGGGGGTAGAAAATCCACCCCGATAAGAACCACACCGACACGCGAAGCCGTTTCGTAAACGAACCCACAGAAGGGATCAATAAAGGGGCCCACAAACACACAAATAAATACACACAAATAAAACTATTCCCATATTTTCCCATATTTTCTGGATTTTTGTCTTCCCTCCCACTTCCCATATTTTCCCGTATTTTCTTTGGAATCGACGATTAATTGTGTCTGTGTGTTTCTTTCCCTCCTGAATCAAGCAGGGCACGGCTGTTTAGGCGGACGCCCACGGCCGTTGAGTAAACGCCAACTGTCTGGTCCGGGTGGCTCTTCCTCCCTTGACGTTTGCTGCAGTTGCTCCCGATGCTCCCTGCCCTCCCCCTGCTCCTCCTCGTCGCCGGCCTCCTCCCCAGCGTGGGCCGTCTCTCCTGATCCTGACGCTGCTGCTCCTGCTCCTCATCGTTGGCCTCCTTCCTCGGGCCCTTCTCATTCGTGGTGCCCTCGCCCTACTCCTTCCCTGTCTCATTACCATGACCCTCCAAATCATCGAACGGGATATTTCGGGATTGTACTTGAGATGACATCTCCCGTACTGAACTATCCCCGATATAATCGCCAGCTGCTGCCATACTTGCTTCCAGCCACTTGCGATAGCCCGTTGTTTGCACAGTTGAATGGTAACCAAATTATCAGCATGCTGAATCAAAAGTTGAAACTGAAGAGGTATCTAAAACAACAATGTACTGTACTATGATGGACGTGTTATGAACGCGGACGCTGCGAGCTCTGCAACTTTATCTTTCTCAACAGCTAAGGATGGACGTCGCCAAACCAAAAAGTGAAGCGTCTCTGAAAGAAAACGCAAGATCTCTGAAGGGCCAAAAGGGCTAGGCGGAGGAGTCGGAGGAGAAGGAGGAGGAGGAGGAGAAGGAGGAGGAGGAGGAGGAGAAGGAGGAGGAGGAGGAGGAGGAGAAGGAGAAGGAGGAGGGAGGAGGGAGGAGGGAGGAGGAGGAGGAGGAGGTGGAGGAGAAGGATCGCAGAGGAAGAGGAGGACGACGCGTAGCGTGAATGATAACAGCGATTGGGCAACCTGGGAGGGCGCACCCCTCGTGCCCCCGCCTACTTCTTTCTCCTATTCCTCATGTTTTGTAGTTTTTTTCGCACAAGCTGTGATGGTGGTTGGCAACATCAGCGGGATCCATCGGGCATTCCAAAACGGGAGCGTCTGGCCTGCGTGCTTATATAATGATGTACAATCCTCATGTGTCGACCTCCTCCCCTCCTCTCCTGCCGCTTCGCACAGACGCCCCAAACTCATTATAGCGTAGCTCGCAGCTAGTACCATAGCGCAAGGGATCTCTCGCGTTGAAGCTTGCAAAGTGCCGTGCTCATAACTCACCAGCGCTAAGTAAGGGCCCATGCAAGAGTTCACGGAAGTAGGTAGGCTTGTAGTTGGGTCGAGACCAGGGGCGAGGGGCAGGTCGGGCCAGGTTCAAAACGACGTCGCAACGTCTAGCGTTGGCTACAGGCTGAGCAACCGCACTATTCGGACGGCTTATTACTCGAGAGGTGGTCAGCACGCGCTTACCTCTTCCTAGCTCGAGACAAACAAATCAGGCTGCCAGGACAGGCACGACTCGAAAAAAATAAAAGCCTGCCCCCTTAGCTCAAGCAATGAAGCGAGAAAGCCCGCTCCCCAGCAAGCAAGCAAGCACCATGCCAAATGGGAAGCGATGGCAGGTCTCATTACTTAGCTAGGCGAGGAGGTGCCCGTACTTAACGTCCTCCACATCCGTCGGGTCGCTAACGTCTGGGCCGAGCACGATAGCCTGGCTCGTGCGCAGCTTCGTCGAAGTCGCGGGCGTCTTCGGGTGGGCCTCCTCGGGGGAGGGGGGAGGGCGGTGAAGCGGTGAAGGAAGAAAGGTAGGAGGGAGGGTGAGGGGGGCAGGGCCCCCCCCTGTCGTTTTCGCCGCCGCCATGGCCGCCGGCGCTGACACGGCGACTGGCTGTTGGGGGGATCTCCTCCTCCTCCTCCTCCTGATCCTCCTGATCCTCCTCTCCGGCCCTCCCTCCTCCCCCTCGTCCTCCTCCTCCTCCTTCTTCTGTTTCTTCTTCCTCCCATCCTCCTCCTCCTCCTACTATTACAACTACTACAAATACAACTACAACTACAACTACTACCCTCCTCCTCCTCCACATACCTCCTCATCCGCCTCCCCTCTTCCACTTCCCAAAGTCCTTCCACTTCCCAAAGTCATTCCACTTTCCCTCCTCCTCCACCACCACCTCCCAAAGTCCTTCCACTTCTTGGCATCATCCTTCGTGACCATCCCTGGCACGGCCCCGCGCGTGAGCTTGATGCCCTTGATGTGATAGGCGACCTCCTTTGGCACGAGGCGCGTGAGGAAGACCTGGGCTGGAGGCCGTCCCCCTCCCTTTTCCTTCCCCCCTCCCCTCCCTCCCCCTCCCATTTTTGCGTGTTTATCATTTGACTTTCTTCGTTTGCTTTCCTCTGGACCCTGGGGCCCAAACGATCCAAAACAAGATCTGAAATCGCATCCAAGTCCCAACAACCTTGGTCTCGATGGTGGTGCGGCCCGCGCCGTGCCCGTAGCGGAACAGGAAGCTGACCTCCTGCCGCTCTGCCTGGGGAGCGATTAGGTGATAGGAGGAGGAGGAGGAGGAGGAGGAGGAGGGAGCAGGATGAGCAGGATGATTTTTGTGCTAGCTACCTTCATGCTGTGGTCCTTCTGCTCAGGCGCCAACCACGCCGGAGCAAATATATCGCTGCCATCCACGACGTAGCCGCCCTGCTCGACGTAGAAGTCCATGCCGAACGCAGTGGTGACGAAGATGGCGCCCTTGGTGGGAACCTTGACCACTTTGCCGAAGAACGAAACGCAGACCTTCGAATGCAAGCCCTTCTCGGGGTCAGCGAACACCTCCTGGGTCGACTTCTCGATGGTGAGGCCCTCAAGACCGCAGTCCAGCTTGACGCCAGGCGTCGCGGGGCCAAGAGCCAGGTCCGCCAGGAAGACCTCCAGCTTCTTCATGAAGCAGCCAATCACTGCGTTGCTCTTGGCCATCACCGCCAAAACAGTGTTCGAATCTGCTGGCATCTCCGCGGGGACTACGGGCTTCGGGGCCGCCACTGGCGGGGCTGGTGGAGCCGCCGGAGCTGCCTCCTCAGGCGCCGCCGCCGCCGCGGCCGCCTGCTGGGCTGGCTGGGCGGGGGCATGCGCAGCCGCGAAAGAAGCGGGGATCTCCATATCCATCCACTCGCAGGCTGTCTCGATCTCTTTGATGCCTTTTGAGTTCAGGACCTTCTCCCAGAAGTCGGCCCACTTGCTCTTGGTAACAGCGCGAAGCTCGAGAGCGGCGAAGTCCGCCATGCGCCTCCGACAGAAATTGAGAGTGTCGGTCAGGCCGACGACATCCACGACCTCGATGACACTGTCAATGACCTCGACAGAAGTCAAGTACCTGAGGCGAACCCAGGCGTCCAGCTCCTTGAACGAATCGAAGATACCGCAGGAAAGGATCTCCGGAGTCAGCTTGGCCTTCATCTCGGGCTCATCAATGCAGGACGCCACGCAGTCAGTCATGAACTTGGCGAACTTGATGTTGCGAGGCGGGAACAGTGCGAATATGTGCGGCGCAATGATATCCAGGATATTGCGATTGCGAAGCGCCTTGTCATTTTTCTCCATGGTGGCGATCTCGTTCGAAACCCCGCCCATGATTGCCAGGAACTCTGGCCTCATCTTGATCGGCGTCGTAGTGTCCACAGCCGTGTGGGCGCGATAGATCTCCATGATCAAGCTAGCATCGGCATGGAACGGGGTCAAAGGCTGGATGAGCGCCAAAAGCTTAGCATCTGCTGAGTTTGGATCATCCACGTTCGTCGCGTCGTCCATCTCCGTATCCTGCAACTTCTGCAAGATGAGATTGGTGGCCTCTTCCGACGAAGCCGCCTCGTCGATATCAAGGGACTGGCGGAGGACATCCGCGTGGGCCTTCAGGATCATCATCTTGAGCTGCGGGCGCAGCAAGCTCCATTTCTTGTAGACCTTCCCGTTCAGCTCCACCTCGCCCACGAAAGCAAAGGACAAACCCTTGAAGAGCGCTTCCGAGATCGGGACCTTCTTCCACTTGTCGGCTGGGAGGGTCTTGATGGGGATCTCCACGCAGATGGCCAGGTCGTGGAACCAGAGCTTGTCCTTGCGCTCACCGCCCTCGGTCACGTGGGACACCATCACTTCCTCGGGAATGGCTGGCATGGCGGTCGCTGCGCCCTGGCTCCCCTTCTTCTTTCCCTTCTTGCCGGTGCCGTCCTTCTTGCCTTTCTTGGACTTGGTCTTGCCCTCTTTGGTCTTGCCCTCTGCGGTCTTGCTTTTGCCCTGGCCCTTGCCCTGGTTGCCCCCCTTGCCCTTGTCGCCCTTGGTCTTCCTGCTCTTCGAACTGCCCTGGCCCTCGCTTCCTGCGCTCTCACCACCCTCGGAGGCGGAGCCAGCAGCGGAGGCGGAGGCCTCGCCGGCGCTGTCGGCGTCCAGCCCGTCCACCACCGACTCCCCCAGCGACTCCACGACCGACACCAAGGATGCGTCCGATGCGGCGTCGGACTCGGAGCCCGAGGCTTTGCGCTTCTTCCCAGTAGTAGCCGCCTTCGTGTACATCACAGAGCCGCCGATCGGGAGTTTCAGGAGGCTGATGGTGGATATCAACTCGGTGTACTTCTCCATGTGGGCGAGGCTGACATCGCGATACTTCTGCACTGCCTCGTCGCCCTCGGACATGGGGAGGACAAGCTTCAGCACCTCGAGGAGCGTCAGTTTCGCGATCGTGAGGTTGACCGAACCTGCGAAGGTAGTGCCGAGAATGATCGCGCAAGCGTCGTGGCAGATGCGAGCCATCCGAATAGGATCGAGCCTCC